CATGCCAGTCCTTGTTTACAAGAGTTGGCTGCTTTTAACACGTAGATTCCTCCCTTGGTTTTGTGGATTGAGGGTGGGTGTTTGTTAGTTCTGAGATGCAAATGTGTTTAATGGTTTGTCCACTGCCTTTAGTTGAGTCTCTAAGTTAATGCTTGGGTTTCAGCCCTTGCCCTTTTTAAGGGTTTATCGTGCCTGTGACCTCATGGTGCTGAATTTGGTGAGAATTGGAGCAATTCTGGGTTCCATACATTTGCAGGGCTTCATTAGGAGGGCAGCAGACTGTTGTTTCATGGTTCAGGTGAGGAGGGATTCTGCATACATTGAATTATGTTACAGCACAAGGCAGTTTTCATCGGTCTGTACTAAGTAAAAACCCTTAAAATCCTTTGCAAGCTCAGGCAGGGACTGGAGCCAGTTGCATAGTATCCCCTAATGTGAGAGCTGTTGATAATAAATACATTTATTGTGTATTGCGGATGAAAATGAAACTTTTCATCCTGATTTCCTCACCGCCCCCAGAGGAAAGAATTTCCTCCTCATGTCCAGTCTGAAGCTGCTCTCTGCCAGGGTGAAGCCATTCCCCCTTGTGCTGTCACTCCCTGCTCCTGTGAAAAGTCCATTTTCCACATCTGGATATTGAGTTTGAGCTCAGGACAAAGTGGTTGGCTGCCAAGTGTCACCTGAGCGTGTTCCTGTCCTTGGGGAAGGAGCCCAGGGATGTGCCCATGGAATACTGGGATAGCAGCCCAGCCACTCTGTTCCCACGTGATTTAATGACCAGTCACATCGTGTGCTGATGAGTGTTCCATTTATAACACACAATGCAGGATGCTCTGGGAGGGTATAATTAATGTGGGACTCAGTTTTAGCAAACTGCTGCATCCATTTGGAAGCTCTTTAATTACGGGCTCAGCACGTCGTGTCAGGGAACAGGGTAATTCAGGGCTGGTCAGAAATGTTCCCATTCCCATACAAATACTTATTTTTAGGGAAAAAGAGAGAAAAAGTGTGGACTGTCAGATGTGACTCCACCTTGGAGCAGTGCAGTGGGGGCAGCCCAGGTTGCTGGTTTGTCATGGTTGGAAGCACTGGAGCACATCTCAGTGCTGAAAGCAGCAGGATCCTTGGGCAGGTTGGTTTTCCCCTCAGTCTCTCCCATTAATTGGCTGTAAATGTGCAGCTTTTAATGGTCTCCCCACTCATTTCTGATGTGGCATTTCGCTGCAGGGTTTAAAATCATTTCTTTTATCTCCCTTCTGATGCCCCTGGCTTTGAGCTTTTGGGATCTGAGAGCTTTTTTGGAGGCTGTTCCAGTGGTTCTGGCTCCTTGGAGAGCATGGCACCAACCTTGGGGAAATTCCAGCTGCTTTTTGGCTCAGCTTTTGGTCTCATGTGACCCTCCAGGACGTTGTCAATCCCGTGATGGGAAGCTCATGATCAAGTGTGAAGAGATAAGGCACTGAGGAGGATTTTTGGGAGCATTCCCCAGTTTATCAGCCATTCACAAGGAAATTTCCATCGGAAATTTCTTACCAAGGCAGGATCTGGATCCTGTGAAATGGAATTGTGGATCCCCTGTGAAGCACCTGTTTGAGGTGGCAGAGGAGGAGACAATAATCAGCCATAAGATGCTGCAGAAGTGCAGGATGCAACCATTGCCTGTGAGCACTTCTCCAATTTCTCTGGCAGGAGGGGGTATTTTTAGTCCTATGAATCCCTATCACTGGTGCTGGTGTGACCTGCAGTGTTAACAAAGACAGAATAACTTCTGCTCTGGGCTTTTATTCTGCTGCTCCTGAGTTCCTGTGACTTCAAAGGTGTAACAGGGCCCTGTGGAGGAGCTCTTTGCTACTGAAATAGTGCAAATAAAATGGTTACTCGTGTGTGCTAATAGGTTAATTGTCAGTTCTATCTCTTCTCGATTTTCAGCTGCTTTATTCTCTGAAAGGTGATAAAATAAGGCCAGACAAAAATCCAGAGGCATTTTCCTTTCTAAGCCTCCTTTCTCTGGGCTTCTGAAACGTATTTATGCACAGGGCTCCCTCCTAACAAAGGGCTCTTTGAGGGTCCTGTGGTCGTCTAACATTCCCTCCTTTCACATGAAATTAAGGGCTGTGATTTACTGCGGTGACCTGAGTGCCTGAGCGCTCTCATTTACAGCCAGCCTGCCTTTATTTTATTTTTTTTTTTGAGGGGGAGAATGTTTTTTTGTGCCTCTTCTGGGTGCTTTAGTTATGCAAACGTACCACTGGGTATGTTGTTGTTTTTTTTTTCTCCCTCCTAGACGCTGAAGTCTTTTTTTTTTTTTTTTTACTTTTCCTCCCGTGAAGAAAGGGCGCAGATTTATCTTTTTTAATTAGCTGTTCCACAGATTTATTTTAGATTTCCTTAGGGCCAGCTGCTGGTGGAGGGCACGGGGTGGAAGGGCCCAGGCAGTGATGACTGGCACAACCCATGCTCAGCATTCCTGGGAAATAATGATGTTTGTCCCCAGAATTCCGGCTGTGTGTCCCAGCTCCCTTCCCCAGCCTCTTTCTGTTGCCATGGGGAGGATGTCCAGGAGCACAGAGCTGTTTATTGGACCTGGGTGTGCCCAGACAAGGGGATGTGGGGCTCAATTCCCCCCTGGCTGCTTCCCATCCTTCCCCCCCAGCATTCCTGGTGTGCACCTGCTGTCCTTGGCTCCCTGCTGGGATTTTGGCCATATCCTCCTGGGATTTATGGGGGATTTGAGCAGAACATGCTCAGGTTTTTCCTTTGCAGCCAGAGATTTTCTTTATGAAATAACAGATTTTGTTTAGGGTGCTGTTTCATAGGGAATGTTGTTTAAATTAAGGGGCCCGTGCTGTTTTTTATTTGTTGAGCTGAAAGCAAGCCCACAAACCCCCATTATTTTTTCATGAGGACACTGGTTAACCACAGCAGAAACCCTGCAATGCAGATGGTGCCCAAAAGCACCAGGAATAGCACAAGATTTGGCTTATTTTGTAGGGCTGGTAACTAAAACACAGATTGGACCCTGTGGGATTTCTTGCAGAAAAATCTTCTTATAGGTGGATTTGGCAGGAATTTCGTAGCACATCACACAATGTGGGGCTCCTTCCACTCCCATCCCTCCCTCTGCTGCCACCTCCTCCTCTCACAGTGTTTCTCCCAACACTGTTGCTCCTGTGGAAAGCCCAGGAATTTTTTCATTTGAAATATGGGAGGGGAGTTAGGGCTGCACAGCCTTCCCTGCCCCACTGAGGTTTCCCTCCTGGGAGTAGTTCAGGTTGGAAGCACAAGTTGGACTGAACTGGGATTGGGATGTCTCAGGAGGTGTGTGATGGCCACCCCAGGAACTCCAACCCTGTCCTCAGTTATCCACGTTCAGGGGGAACTCTGCTGGAAATGTGCCCCAGGAGGGTTTTTTAAGCACTGGTGGTGACAGGAAAAGGGTTTAATTCACACACTGCTCCCTGCTATGGTCTCTGGAACTCACTCCCTCTCCTGGAGTTTCCTTTTCCCTATTTTTTTCCTTTCCTTCTGGGGGATCTGCCTTTTCCCTGCCGGGCTGTGTGTGCTGGGGAGGGCTGGGCTGGCTCCCAGGGGATGTACCAGAGGGTTCCAGGCAGACCTGCTTTAATGGTGACTGTCTGTTTGGGAGAAATTCCATAGGTGCCTCTCCTGGGAGCTGTTTTATTGCAGAAAGTGTATAAATTCATCTTAGTGAAGGGACTTGCACAGTAAGAAAAGGAAAAAAAAAAAAAAGGAGTGGGGAAGAAGCCACGGATTCCTTTTCTTTCCTTTAATCATGACTGAGATTATATTGGGTTCAGCTCCCAGCCTTGAGTGTGACATTTATTTTCTGGTATTTTATGCTGCCTTTGGCTAGATCAGCTTTAAAATAAAGGCTGGAAATGCAGAGCTTTCTGCAGAACGTGAGGGGGGGGGCAGGACAGAGGGGCTGACTGTGAATGTCTCTCTGGCTTGTTCCTGTTTATTATTCTTGGCATACAGTATCAACTGAAAAGCACTGGAATTGCCCTTGGCAGTGGAATTCTTTTGCTTAGTGGTCTGTGGTGCTGGCCTTTGTTTTAAGAAGGTTTTGCACTCCAGTTTCAGCGAGATGCTCCCCTCAATGTGGCACTGCAGTTTCATTGCTCTGTCATCTTCTGTCTCCTTTTCTTCCTCTTATTTTTATCTGTCCTTGTCTGTCTTGTCCTTCACTTTACCAGAAACAAAACCCCCTTTGTGGCCGTAAACTCAGCGTGCCAAATAGTTTGAATAACTGTAGCACTCCAAGAGTGAATGTAAAACATAAAAGCGCCAGTAAATTCCTTTCAATGCCATCCTATAACAACAAGAATTCCCATTTTAATAACTGGGGCAGTGCAATGGTTGACCTCGTTGTTTGATGCACCCATTAACTTGCTTGGCTCGGTTCAAAGTCTCCTTACATCCCGCGTTTAACTCTGCAGCCGGTAATTTAGTGTTAATGATGCTGCATTCATTAACATCCCAATGAGGCCGCTTTTCTTTTCCACGCTTTTCTTCCCGGGGCAGATTATTCAGTTACCTGAATCCCTGGCTTAATGCAGGCTGGCACTGAGCTGTTTTATTGCCTTTGTTGTGCCCCGGGAAGGGAAGGACACTGAAAGCAAACGGGTTGGTCATTTCTGTGGCTGCAGTTTGTGTTGTCACACAGGTGAATAAATCACTTGAGCTTGGAATATTAAGAATACTGGGTAGTGTAGAAGATTCCATGAGGATTTTGTGTCATTATTTCCAGTTGTATTTCCTGTTGTAAGGTCCTAAATTGTGTTTTTTTCCTTGGTGAGAATCCCCTCCCCTCCCTTCTCTCGTTCATACACTGGTTTGCTTCTTTTAAGGTTGTTGGGTTATTGCTGTGGGATTGTTTTCAGCACTGGAGAGTTAATAAATTGCCCTGCACTACCTTTTCTCCTCAGAGAGGAAAGAGCACAGATCACACAGGGGAGAAAAGGAAGGAACAAAGATAAATGATTTGGCAGATATTTCAAAAAGAAGGCTGGGTTGCAGTGACCAGTTTGGACGTGGGGGCTCACGGCACTGGTGGGTCACAGCGGGGAGATGTGTGGGGAGAAGGACAGCCCAGCTCTGCTGGCAGAGCTCTGCTGGCTGTCAGACACAGCCGTGTGCCTGCTCATACCCTGAGTCCTGCTGGGCCCTGCAGGTCGTTTCCAGGGGCTCTGGTTTGTCCCTGGAACGGTGTTGGGGTGGGGGAACAGTGGGACTGGGCTCCGAGGGCACGGCTTAGGAATTCCCGGGTGGCAAACGTGCTGCACACCAGGGTGGGAGAGAGCGGCTTGTCCTGGGGATCCCAGTGGGTTCTGTTCTCAGGAATTGGGGTCCTGCTGGTGGGGCTGGGCTGGGTGTCCCTGGACACCAGCTGGGCTGGCAGAGCTGGGAAGGCACATGGGATCAGGTGCTGTCTGGCTGCTCCTCCCCGTGTCCCTGGAGATGTGGAGATGTCTGGCTGGCAGCCCGAGCTGGCAGCTCCCTGGGGAGCCCAGAGCAGTGTCTGGAGCACCACAGCCAGGGTTGGGAAGGGGCCCCATTCCCAACAGCAGCTCCAGCTGGTACCACTGCTCAGCCTTCCTTCCCTGGGGCATCTTCCATGGGAGATCTGCAGGAAGGTTTGCAGGGGAAATAACCCCGAGGGCATGGACTGAGAGAGAGCCCCTGCTCGTTCCTGGGCAGTTGTGAGCTGGCAGTCTGCAAATGTGGGGTGAGAATCATGGAATCGTGGAATGGTTTGAGTTGGAAGGGCAGGGACACCTTCCACTATCCCAGGTTGCTCCAGCCTGGCCTTGGAGACTTCCAGGGATGGGGCAGCCACAGCTTCTCTGGGCAACCTGTGCCAGGGCCTCCCCACCCTCCCAGGGAAGAATTCCTTCCCAAGATCCCATCTGACCCTGCCCCCTTGGCAGTGGGAAGCCATTCCCCCTTGTCCTGGCACTCCAGAGCCCTGTCCCAAGTCCCTCTCCATCAGGCATTCATGGGAGCTTTGGTTCCCAGCACCTGGGTAGTGCTCAGGACAGCAGAGAATCAGCCAAAGAAAGCTTCAAAGCTTTCCTTTTCCGTTCCTGTTTTGCCCAAACAAGCACTGTCTGGGAAGTTCTCACTTGCTGGTGACTTTGCTGGTTGTTGCTCCTGTCCTGACACCCCGCAGTGATTTCTGCTCTGCAGGGGATGCCAAGCAGGGCAGGATTTGAGAGGTGCAATCTGGTTTTTGAAGGACCCAGGAATCTGCACTGCTATCACATCTGCTGCTCCCTAAGCTCAGGCCTTGTGTTCTGCCTCAGGGCACGTTTTGAATGCTTTCCCCGTGGGCACAGGAAAGAAAAAGCTTCAAACCCAAAAATATCTCTTGGTAATGATGAGTTAGTGACCGTGTTGTGGTTTTTTTTGGAAGAACTGGGACAGTTTTCTTCTCAGGAAATTAAAAGGCATTTTGTTGGTTTGTGGGGTGGTACAAAGAAATGCTTGAACTCTCTGAGTGGGGTCTGGAGAGTGACTGAAGGGCCTCACCTACATTTCTGACCCCAAAATTTACCAGGCAGATACAGAAGTGAAGGCAGTGCTGCACTCCTGTTGGGTTGGGTTGGTTTTCCCCCTCCCCTTTTTTCTGATATTGCAAATGTCAAACCTGTTGGCAGTGTTTCACAGAGAGCTGCTCTGGCATTATTGGAGTCATCATGCCCAAAATAAGGCCGTGATGCAGAGAGGACTCGCTGAGAGATGAAGTGCCTGTTGCTGGTGAAAGTCAGTGGTGAAAATCACTGTGGCTTCACCTCCTGCTTAGGGAGCTTCTGGTTTGGATATAAACTTTGTATTGGATTGACCCAAGCAGAACAGAAGCAATTTAGGATTAGTGGCCATATTTTTTCTTTCCCATCAAATGGCTCTTGGGTAAGAAATGTTTATTATTTTACCTCTCTGGTCTGCATTGTGTTCCTGCCTCTTGCAGGCTGTACCAGCTGCTCTTTCCTTCTGGGGAGGGGAGGGTCATCTGGCACACGCTGCTGGAATTTCATTGTGGAACACAGAAATACATTGTGGCTCAAAATAAACCCACCAGTGGCTCTTGACACTGGAGGAAAAGCTCTCCAGCCCCACCGTGGTCTTCATTCCAGCAAGGCAAGCAGTTGTTAGTGGCAGGAAAAAATTTATTCCAGAGATTTCTCTTGCTATTTCTGCAGTTGCAGGGCTGTGCAGCTGTGGAGGGGAACTCGAGCACACGCTGGTCAGGGGGCCCATCTGCTTCTAATAAAACACGCAGGGAAAGGCTGCAAAAGGGGCAGTTGTGGGGGGAGGGCTGGGAGCAGAGCCCCAGTTGTCTGCTGGCTCCTTCCCCTCCCTCCCTGCCTTTCTGCACCTTCCTGGAATAGCAAAACACCCTGAGCTGGAAGGGACCCCCAAGGATGAGCCCAGCCCAGCTCTTGGCCCTGCACAGGACACCCCAAACCCCCCCAGGTACCAGGGAGCACCATCCAGGCAGCCAGAGGGGTCTGAGGAGGATGAGACAGACGGTGCTTTTCCCTCTCCCTTTCCTATTTCTCTTGAATGCTGTAGGAAGGCACAGGGAGCAGTCCTGGAACCCAGCAGAGAGGGATCCCTGAGCCCTTCCAGGCTCCTCCAGCACGGGCTCAGTCCTGGTTCTGCAGGGGATACCTGTAGCTTGCTTACCTGCTGCTCAGCTCCTTGAGGAGTTCCGTGTTCCCCTCTCAGCTGAAGTGTCTGCTCCTTCTAATAATCCAGCTCCACCCAGGCACATCAGGTGGGAGTTTTAATGGAACGTTCTTCACCTCTCCAGAAGTTCAGAACTGAAGTGCTGTAATTTCAGGCATTAGGTAACGAGGTTATTTTAGGAAGAATTTGAAACTCTGCTTTGCCTTTCCCAGGAGAGTGCCAGGCTGGAGGCAGCACTGTCCCAGCCATGACTCAAAATCCACATTATGACTGGGATTAATTGTGGTGGAACCAAGCCACGGAGGGGGTCAGAGCTGGTTGAGCCAGGAAGGTTGTGGACCTTGGTCTCTTCACATTTTTCAGGCATTCTGGTGGCAGTGACCATCTCAAACCTGCTGCCTCCAGCGGGAGAAAATGAACATTGCTTTTCCATGACACTGAATTAGCTTTGATGTCAGTCCTTTCTTCCTCATGGAAAATGGGAATGTGGGGCCCTTTCTGCCCTTCCAGGGCCATGAACCTTCTGTTGTCTCCCTGAGTCAAAGCCTTTCGGAATGAGAGTGGAAAATATGCCTGTCCTTGGGTGCAGTGACAGTCCTGGCTGGGTGTGTGCCATGTGTTTGTCCTTGGGCTCCCAGGAGATGGAGCCTTTCAAGTCTTGTTGCCATTCCTGAGCTTTGGCTCCTGCCTGGGAATTGCTGCTGTGCAGGGATTGGGAGCTGAGGCTCCGAGGTGTGACGTGGACACACGAAAATAAAAGGTGCTTTTGGAGAACTGAATTTCTGTGGGGTGATAGAGGGCAGGGCTGGACTCAGGGAATGGTTTGAGCCAGGTGGGTTCTGTGTGTGGCCATGGGAGCAGTGCTGCTGTTGCCAGAGGGATTCATGGCACATCACCTGGGTGTCTCCATGGGAATGTGCTGCAGGAACACCCAGCTGAGCCACCAGCCAAGGGAAGGCAGTGCTGGAGAGCAGGAGCAGCCCTTGGGAAGCTGATGCTGAGGGTTCCCCTCCCAGTGAAGGGTTTGCTCCTTCTGGTGAGCAGGACGTGCAGCTTTGGGTTTGTGAGGCTCAGGAGTGCCCAGGGCATTAACTGCTGGTTGCAGCCTTGGAACTCAATTCCTTCTGCACATGAAATCCAGATTAGCCACAATTAATGATGCTGTGGCTGGAACGGAGCCATTCCTGACAAATCCTGCCTTCCCTCCTTAGATCCCTTAAAGGAGAAGGCAAGCAGAGTTTTCTGACTTTAAAATGTATGAGTTTAGGAGGAAAAACCCCATCCACATGTAATCCTTTCATGTGTAATTCAGGAAATTGGTCCTAGTTTTCATGGCCACTTGCAAAGGATTATTCCATGTACTTGGTGGGCAAGGGAGGAGGGGAGAATGTCTGAATATGTTTTCCTTTTTTTTTTTATCATAAGGAATAGAACTTCTCCATTTTTATGGCCACTGAAGAATGTCAAGGACATTGCTCATCCTGTCAGGACTTTTTTTTTCTACACCCCAGATCTGCTCTTTGTCCTTTCCGGGTTCCCTTGCCCCAGTTTTCTCCAGTGTTGTTTATTTTAAAACAAATAAGTAATTGCATTTACCTTTTACTGTCCATTCCATCAAATAAACTAAGTAGGGGTTTTTATTCCCCTTCATTTCTCTTTTGAAAGAAAATGTTCAGATAATTCCCTTGGTTTCTGCTAAAGGAATTTCTTTGGTCCCTGCTAAAATAATTTCTCTGGTTGCTGCTGAAATAATTCCCAGTGGCCAGGATGAACTGTGCTGCTCTGCTGAGGGGCGAGGGTGCAAGCTGTATTAACCTGAATTTACAACCCAACTGTTCTCAGTTATTCCTCCAGTATTTATTTGCTTGGTTAGTAAACTGAGAAGCCCCAAAACATGTGAGTTGAGATTTTGGACCTTCCTGTGGTGCAGTTATTTATTCCTCTCCTCTCCCATGACTTGCTTTGCTGGATGAATCATTGCTCTGTCTTGGTAGGGCAGGGCTTTTGTAGCCAAGTTTTTTTTGGGGAGGGGGGGTTGGATGAGAAAAGGGCCTTGCAAATAACTGAGGGACTGCAGATATTGAGGAACACACCTTATTCAATTTATTGGAAACTTATTGTTTAATGGAAATTGTTGGAAATGAGGCTCTCCAGTTTTATAGATGCTCTTAATCACATCCAGAACCTTCTACCAAGGCTGCCTGTCCACATATATTGTGGGGAGCCTGACTGCATTTTGCAATGTGTGTTGTCCCAACATAAGTTTTGTGCTCTCCAAGTTCCCTTTTTAAGCCTGAAGTGAGTACAAGGATCAGCTGGCTGGAGTCTGCCCTGTGTGGATGTTTTCTCCTGTTGCTGGT